CGGTAAGGATGCTTGAGAATCAAAGGTGACCTAAAGGGGGGTGGAGGTTACCACAAAGTATGCCACCTACCGAAAGAATTGTTGGGAATTGGTTATGACAATTAATGGTTATTATTTGTATGTGGTGCTCATTTATTCGTTTAAGTAATATTTTTTAAATAAACTTGAGATCCTTTTTAAATGTCACTACTTTATTTCAAATTATGTATCTATGTTATGTTAAAATTGAGACCGACCATTTTAAATGCTTTTCTAAACCTTGTATGGGTTTGGGAGAATTTTTGTACAGAGCTTCGTGCTCACCCCCGATCGCTAACATTTTTCAGATTACCCGCTTGAGGAGGAGGACATAAGGGTCGAGGAGCTACTTGGGAGACTCCACGGGACGGGAGTGTGGATCCCGAGATGGACGCATAGAGCGACCTCCTTTCCTTTTGTACTAGACTAGGACATTCTTTTGGAACATTGTGTCTAGCTTCTTTTGTTTATTCTGCTGCGCTTCTTTAATTAATTTTTGAGATGTAATAGCCATGATTTAGGCTTATTCTTTTTGGATAATGTTGTAAATATTCATGGATGACAAATGAAGTTTTGTTTTTTAAGGGATTATATTAGTGCTCTCATGATATGAATGGTTTTAGAATGTAATGTCATCCAGAGTGTGTTTTGGGGCGTTACAAATATATTTCAGCATCGTTGGCTACTTCTAAAACAATTTGGTTGAGAAGAATCTTAGAAGATATTGGTGAAAAGTAATGTGAAGCAACTCTAATTTTATGTGATAATAAATCAACTATTGTCATGACGAAGAATCTTATCTATCATAGCCGAACTAAGTATATTGCAATATTGCAAGACTGAAGATCAACTGACAGATATTTTTACCAAAGCACTTCCAAAAGTTAAGTTTGAGTTTCTAGGAGATATGTTGAAAATTCAACAACAAAGCATTAAGGGAGAGTGTTAAAAATATCATATTAGATAATACTTAGTTATTAAGTTTATCTAGTTGACTTCGGAATAAAAATAGTTGAGTCTTGGGTCTTGTTATGTGGTTAATGTTCTAGGAAAGTGAGTGGTCAAAATATATCTTAAAACCTATATGTATGTTGAAATTATAGAATACATTATGAAAAATTATTCCTATAAACTATATTACATTGTCTTTATTTTCTCTATCACAAATATAAAAAAGCTGAAATTATAACCAACAAATAATATTTGGCAAAAAATTTTTGTCAACACTAAAAAATTCGGTCTAGTGGGGACATAATTTTTGCCAATGATAGTATTTTCGCTAAATCTCCTGCTTCTGGTAGAGTTGGAAAATCACTGATTGAGTGGGGTGTTTTGTGATGAACAACATAAATTATGAGTTCAAAATTATTTTGAGAAAAATGTTTAATTTGGCCTATATAACTTGGTGTAGACAAACCTGGAGATGACTTGCAACTTGCATTCTTGTAAGGCCAGGCACATTCATTAGCTCAAGTATCTCCTTCGGGTAACATCCTATTCCAAATGGGACACAAGAACTATGTTAATTGCCAAAAAAATTGTCAACACTTGACATATAGAGAAGCATATCATAAAAATGACTATGTTTAGGAGATAATTTTGTAAAAAGAATTGAAAGAAATTTTACTTCCTTCACCAAGCAGATGAACAGCTTCCATGAATTTCCCATGAAGTTCTTCAGTCCATTCTGTGCAAGGCCTCCTCCTAATCCTATCACTACCATTATCTTCAGATACACATTCTTGACCCTTATCTACAAGTGTTTTACTTCTCTCCCTTCTCTTTGATCCACTGTTGTTTGTCTTATTGTTTGTTTCACTTCCTTTGTCCTCAGCAAAGATTTTTCTCTTGGATTTATTTTGTTTGCCATTGTCATCTGTCACCTCACCGAGTTTATCTTTCTCAGGCATCTTTTTCTTTCTGATCCTCTCCCTCAACACATGTTGCCACAAGTAAGTCAGCATCTCCATACTAACAGGTTTGTCTAGGAAGAGAAATGCTCCGTTCTCAAGAGCTTTCCTTGCCAGCATTGTATCTTCATTATTCGACATTACTGTCATTTGAAGAACGTGAGAAATGAGAAAGTTAGGTGGAATAAAAACCTATAAACAACTTATGTGTGGTGGTTCATGTAGTTGTATATTCGTGTACATTTCTAGGGAAAAAAACTTTCAATTGACTGAACATGACAATTTTGAAGAAATAGCTAAGCAAGAGGTTTGGATAAAGGCAATGTAATAGGAATTGCATGTGCTTGAGAGAAAAATAGCATTATGAAGCTTACAAATTAAAAATTAGGAAGGAAAATAGTAGCAGAAATGGAAATTCAGACTCACGGAAAACGAATAAATTTCTAAAGGAAAGAACAATAATAGCAGAAATAGAGCTATAAACAACACTCACCAAATGCTGGCACTTCCATGATAATCGATTGACAGAGAAGCTTACAGCCATCCAAGTCAGGTGACTGATCAATATCTGCGAGCAAAAGGTCAAAGTGCTCCTTTCCTTCTGAAAGCATGGACAAAGCTGTCGACACATGTTCAACTGCAGTAACTGAAAATTATGCAAATTCAACATAAGAATAGAATTGAAAAAACTCGAAATAGGTGAAGTTGCACTACATAATATTTATGCACAAGCATCCTGAAGAGAAAAATTGTACAATGATCTTGAAGTTAATTGCTAGAAAAAAAATTTCTCCCATATGGTGGCAACCAAAATCATTTATCTTGGCATTGGTCATGATAAGCATATTTGGAAGAAAATATCCTTAATCTTTTGGAGTTTATATGCTTATTAGCAGGCATATCAATCTAGTAGACTTAAGAGCATTAGTTTTATGAAAACAAGATCACCACAAAGCACAATTTTCTTTTTCTAAACCGGTGCATAATAAATAGTTCATAAAACAATAGACAATCCAATCGCCCTACAACTTTGCATAGAGAATAAAGCCAATGAAAATTTTTTCTTTTCATAATATAAACTCATTTTTTAGCATCTTGCATATGGTTCTGGATTACAAGATAAACAAAATGAACTTTTCAAGCAATGGGTTATCTATGGTTAGATGAGGACTATATCTTAAAAAGATTTTTATCCCACGAATGAAAAAGTTATTTACCTCGATTAATTGAAATTCATCAAGTACTACTGTAACATGCTGAGCCTTAGACTTTATCAATAATTAACTAGAGTCTTGAAATAACTTTAAAATTTTATCCTACCTATGACATGTTTGGAACAGGGAAAAAAAAGGAAGACTAAATTTGGCACGACGTTGACATTTACAACAAAAAATGGTAACAATATGAAAACATGAACAACAGAAGTAGCATCGACAATAGGAAGAAAAAGAAAAAGAAGTGCACAAAGGTACATAGCTCTGAGGTTGTATTAAGAATTACGAAAGATAAATAAAATTTATTTAAAAGGAGTATTTAGAACTGGATCAATAATTTATAGGTTTTAAAGAAATAATCATATCAAAACCCATGAGGTCAGGCCAGAAAACACGACTACTTTAGAAACTCGACCCTAATACTGCTTGTGGTAATTTGATATAACCAGATTTTCAATTTAAAATGCCTTGCTGAGGACAACATAATTCCAACTCGGTTTTTTTAGAGATTTAAATGCATAGATGATAAGGAAAGGGGTATGCATTGAATAATAAAAATGGTATGTCATTTTATAGGGTATTAGAATCTACATCTTAGAAGAAATTCATGTACTCAATCTCAAGGAAAGGGTAATAAGAATAATATGTTTCTGAATAAATAATCAGAGAGAGAGAATATGGGGTTGAAATTTCTCAATTTAAATTTCTTAGAGTAATGCTACATAACCCCAAAAAAAAACCTAAAAAATTACAATCCAAATGCATATCACCCCTTAGATAAGTGTGTAGAATTCACTTATCCAACACTCATCCTAAGAGATAATATGCATTTGAGTTATAGTTTTTGGATTTCATTTGAGTTGTATAGTATTTTTCAAATTCTTATTTATGTGTGTGTTGTAATTGAATGAATTTTAATATCAGTAAATTTATGGACACTGTTGACTAATAAATAACTAGAATCCTATTGTTCACGAATGATCTCATAATCATGAAATCTGCCAAAAAAGTATTTCAAAAATGACCAAAACTACTAGCAAAGAAAACCTAATTTTCCACTATAGATGTTTCATGAATTTTTTTAGCATACGTTTCGTGATGCCCAAACGCGACACAACTCTCTTTTTTTATGGGGGGTGGAGTTTTGGCCACAAAAGTTTTTGTCAAAAACCAGATTTCTTGTTGTGAGACTTCTAATATGAGATTACAATCCCTAAAGAAAAGAATACATCTTAAAAAACTCAAGATGCAAACCTAATTTCCTGATGGTGATGTACAAATGGAAACCACAAATTTTCCTTTGAACTAGTTCAATTGAGTTTCTCCAGCTGTTAAATTCATTGATACTATTAAATGGAGAAAAGCAAAAAATTTAGAGAGAGACAGACAGAGAGAGAGGGAATGAAGTCAGAAACTAAATCAAGAAGAAGAATGATCAACATTGTAAATTGCTTGTGCCCTCCTATCACATGAACTGTGTCATACGGCTTAATCATATGAGAAAGTGTTAAATAACAAACTAAATTCAGTAGAGATGAGTCATGGTAACAAAATATTGTTTTCAAAGCATAATTCATTTCCTAAGATGAAAGATTCATTGGAGTTTATAGAAATACTATTTAGGGAAAAAAAATCCTAAATTAATGATCATATAACTTATATGGTAGATAACCATGTTTCAGTTGGCGTCTACTAAATTTAAAAAAAAGGTTGAAAATGGAAAAAAAAATCCAGTGTAACAGTTAAAACTAATAGAAAGATGAAAAGATCTCAATGAAAATGAGATTTACAATGTTCTTTAAAGCATGATAGACTGCCAAATTACCCAAAGGTTGTCAATGAGAGAAAAAAATACTAAACAATCGACAACAAAATAAAAAAATTAACAGTGTTTTCTACAAAAAAAAAAAAAGACAGCCACTTTTTTGCAAATGGTTTTTATTAACCAAGGATCATGTATAGATGTACACCCCTTTTACAAGTAGCACCCAAAAAAACAAGTAACAACAGAAACAGGGGCCATAGGGATGACTTATCTTCTATACAAAAATTAGAAGATCAATCATCCTAGGATCAAAGAGCATATAGCTAGTTACAAAAAGTCAAGAACAACAAGTTATGAAGCTATTATGAAATGAATGTAATGCAGCATGAAGTAGAACCAAACTAGACATAACCAAGCAACACTACAAGAATCCTTCAATGGAGTCTTTCCAAAGAAATAATAAAATCTACCAAAAGTGGACTACTTTAATATCATTCTTGGCATCATTAAATCTTGAGATGAAAATGGAACATAAAACAAAAATAGCCAGACGACCTCAATCTCTATAGTACTGAGGTTGTTTTACCACTCATTGATAGCCAAATCAAACTTCATTTACCTTTATATGAAGATGTCTCAAGCATTTTAGCTGTAGAGAAGAGGCATTCCTTGTCATTGTCAACTAATAACACACGAAGATTGCATGTGAAGGTATGATACGAAGTCTTTGAAACACTAGGACCTGTACTGGTCCTTGAACCATCTAGTTCCCACCACATAGAGAAATGATGGTGAGCCCGATGATTGGAAGGAACTTGAGCTCAGGCAGATAGAGAGAGAGAGAGAGAGAGAGCAGTGGAGTGGAGTGTGGTTTTCAAAGGTTGTTCAAGTGGAGTTAAAAACTGGTGAAGACTGCAGATCCTAAACACAAGAGTTACATATTTATATACATGTGCAAACATACCCTCGTGGGGTGTGGATATGTTGACTGTACCTCAGGTGTCTTTTGCATGCCATAATGAGAGAGTTTGTTTTTTTTCTTTGGACGGTTTATAAATCTTATGTAACGCTCGCCTTAAGTTCAGTCTGAGTACCCCAACATCTCAAGAGTCAAATTTAGAGCATGGGGGTTGTTGTTGATGAGTAGTGCAGTTTCTATTGGCCAGATTTTGTGGGTCCAGTTTGAAATTTTGACCACCAAGACCTTAAATAATGCTATATTGAGCAGCTAATTTATTACCAGTTGATTTTTTGTTGCAGTGATTACTTTTGATGCTAAGTCACTCATTTCACCTTGGGTTGCTCATTCATAACTTTTCTTAGGATTGGGATTGTTCTTGAACATGCTTCAATTATGAAAGTTTTATTTTGAAAAACACATGCAGAATTAAGTAACTACTATATTTTAAGAGAAAATGATTTTAGGAGGAACACGCATTCATATAGATAGGGAAATAAATTTACTTCATGAATGAAAGACTGAATCAAATAAATTTGTTACCTTTAATATGGTGGGATGGGACTACAATTATGCAATATATATGCTTAACCTGCACATTTAACCTCTTTTCTTTTCTCTTTTTTTTTTTAATAAACAGAATATGCTTTTATTTCTTGATTAAACAGTTTAAATCAACTTATTAACGTAACTCTTCTTTCTCTTTTTTTTATTAGTCTATTTAAATCAACTTATTAATGTCACACTTCCTTTCAATTGAATGCCATTATGGTGTTTTTCTTCAAATGTTATGATAAATATGAAAACATTCTTTCCAAAACAGAAATTTGTGGGACAATGCATGAATTCACTAAGACTCCAAAATTAATTGCTAGCAAAGACTCCAAATGATTTCCTATTGTATCGTTGCTTTAATACTAATTGTTTTTCTCAAGTACAAGGGCTAATTCTTAATATATATATCTNAGTGGAGTTAAAAACTGGTGAAGACTGCAGATCCTAAACACAAGAGTTACATATTTATATACATGTGCAAACATACCCTCGTGGGGTGTGGATATGTTGACTGTACCTCAGGTGTCTTTTGCATGCCATAATGAGAGAGTTTGTTTTTTTTCTTTGGACGGTTTATAAATCTTATGTAACGCTCGCCTTAAGTTCAGTCTGAGTACCCCAACATCTCAAGAGTCAAATTTAGAGCATGGGGGTTGTTGTTGATGAGTAGTGCAGTTTCTATTGGCCAGATTTTGTGGGTCCAGTTTGAAATTTTGACCACCAAGACCTTAAATAATGCTATATTGAGCAGCTAATTTATTACCAGTTGATTTTTTGTTGCAGTGATTACTTTTGATGCTAAGTCACTCATTTCACCTTGGGTTGCTCATTCATAACTTTTCTTAGGATTGGGATTGTTCTTGAACATGCTTCAATTATGAAAGTTTTATTTTGAAAAACACATGCAGAATTAAGTAACTACTATATTTTAAGAGAAAATGATTTTAGGAGGAACACGCATTCATATAGATAGGGAAATAAATTTACTTCATGAATGAAAGACTGAATCAAATAAATTTGTTACCTTTAATATGGTGGGATGGGACTACAATTATGCAATATATATGCTTAACCTGCACATTTAACCTCTTTTCTTTTCTCTTTTTTTTTTTAATAAACAGAATATGCTTTTATTTCTTGATTAAACAGTTTAAATCAACTTATTAACGTAACTCTTCTTTCTCTTTTTTTTATTAGTCTATTTAAATCAACTTATTAATGTCACACTTCCTTTCAATTGAATGCCATTATGGTGTTTTTCTTCAAATGTTATGATAAATATGAAAACATTCTTTCCAAAACAGAAATTTGTGGGACAATGCATGAATTCACTAAGACTCCAAAATTAATTGCTAGCAAAGACTCCAAATGATTTCCTATTGTATCGTTGCTTTAATACTAATTGTTTTTCTCAAGTACAAGGGCTAATTCTTAATATATATATCTTGAAGTGATGCAAAGTTTTTTGCTTTGTGGTGGTTTGATCATGTTTAATTACATGGATGCACATGGGCTATGACAGTAGCTGATGCAAGCCAAAACTGGAAGGGTAAATCCCTAAGTGTTGTTCTAAAGATACTTAGCTTGTCAGTGGTTGTATATTATATCTGCCGAGATAGGAATGTTAGGCTCCACACCAATATGTCCAAGGACTACCAGAGTCTTACCAACACTACTGTGCAAACTATATGAGACCGACTTGCCTCCATAAGATTCAAACCTTCTTAGCATAATGGGAAGTTAAACCATTTATGGAAGCTCCTTAGCAAAATGGTATTATTAAGGAACTTAAAACTTGTAAAAAGAAAGAAAAAAAAAACATGTTATAAAACTTCTTGTTATTTGACTGACCCAAAAAATATGTAAGCAATTTAAGAAAGGGAAATTTCAAATAAGTACAAGGTCCATATATTGAATATATAATATAATTAGTAATAGTTGTAAACTCCTCAACGATTCCGAGGACTCACTCAGATCTTATTTGATAACAAAAAGGAAAAGGTGATCGTCAAAGATCTATTGAATTTTTGGGAGATCAATTTTATGGATAGGATCATCCCTACCACAAAACTAATTTTTTTTTCCACAATAATTTTATCATTGATGGTATTGAGATACACCTCCCTTTTTTTGTGTAATTCATTTCGAGAAAAAAAAAGTTATTAGTAATGATTTTACCAACAAGCTAAAAATCTTGTGGCGAAAATTCATTTTTCTAACAAAATAAAGTATTGTCGCCAAAACTTTGGAAAAAAACTAAATTTATGGCTAGAAGGAAGGAAACTTTGGCGACAAAGAAGTAAATATTTTGCTACTAAAGGTATTTGTAAGGCGACAAAATCTATTTCTATTTCCTTTCTCATCCCCTTAACTTGCTCAAAGTCTCCCATACGTTTCACATTCCCTCCCTTGTTTCTTTTTCTCTATCCCTCCTAATTGAACCACTTATTATCATGTGTCACCTCCACCAATGTGGGCTTCCAGTGCCTTTAGAGTCTTATCTCTCAAGTTTGTTTCGCAGATACAAATCCCTCATTTAGTGCACCCACTGTGAATTGGTCATGTTTGCTACTTCTCTCTCACACAAGGGCAAACATCCATACACACGAGCATGGACTATCATTATACCTTGGTTCTACCAGAAGTCTTATCTATTTCTCTCACCATTCGAAATCTTTGATGTTAGCCTAGACCTGAGTTTATATTCGGATCTGTGAGTTTGAGGTTTTAAGACTAGTGGGCAATGAGTCTCTCTCCCTCTTTACATAAATCTATCCATCTTAAAATCCTAAGGCTCACTATTTATAACTCTAACCCAAAATTCTAGGAGCATAAGTTGCTATACATTGATTGTCACTTTAATAGTAGCCTTGTGGTGGCAACAGTTAGCGCCAATGTTCAACTTTTTTCCTCTTAATTTTGCTAATTTTGTTTGACATTGGTTGCGATGGAGAATAACCATGTCATTTAGGATTTAACAATTTATAAATTTAACTTTAGAACATGAATAAGGAATTTAGGTATGTTAATTTAAATTATAAATCTAAAGATGTTGCCTCTTTTAAAATTTGTAGCTCTAAAGCTTAGAAGTTTAGATGGTAAAGATGACATTTAAAAAATTTCAATTCCCACTCTGACATGTGCATGTTACGAACATGTCATGCACATAATCAACTTATACTATGTAGGGGAAGCGACAAAGCGTGAAACTCAAAGGGCTTCCCACACAAATGTTGTTAGTANATTCAATTCCCACTCTGACATGTGCATGTTACGAACATGTCATGCACATAATCAACTTATACTATCTAGGGGAAGCGACAAAGCGTGAAACTCAAAGGGCTTCCCACACAAATGTTGTTAGTAGCTAAATGCGGTAACCATCCAATGTGAGGTAATTTAATAGGTCAACTTGCATGGAAAGATACCAAAACATCTCATCAACATACTTTGAATGAACTAACAACAATTGGATAGTGGATAATTTTATCTACATTAATGTAACTAAAAACCAATAATTAAAAAATTGTGCGTTTTTAATGCTTTTGTTGTCGTTGACTTCAGGTACCAAGAAATTAAACATAACATCTGAATGAACATGTTCAAAATAAATGTGCACGTAGGTGCACGTGTTCAGCTTATAATGGTTGTGGATTTTTTTTTTGCTAGACAGAGTGTGGATTATGGATGAATAGGCAAAAACCTAAAATAATTTTTTTTCTAAAAACAAGATTAACTAAAATAACGAAGGTGGCTAACTTATTAAATTGAATAAAAATAGAAAGGAAAAGAAGAAGAGAAGAGGAAGAAAAAATAAGATAGAAGAAACATATAAACACTTTCATGTGACATATAAGCCTAATCTTTTACACTCCAAGTAGTCTACTTCTTTTACATTTTTCCTCTCAACCTGTTAGAATTATAGAGAAGTTTTTTAAACTTTCAATTAAAGTTTTTGGTTACAAGGCCGGAAGATTTATTTGGCTATTGATTTCATGTATTAAAAATATGCTTTTAATAGTTTGGATGTTACAAATCACAATGGTTATATAAGCATGTTATTGAAGGCCACTCTCGAAGGTTCTTGCATTCAACTTGTAGTCTATTTCTTGTTAAACTTTGTCTACAATTATATTAATACAAGTATTTTTGTATTTTGGACCACATACGATTTGAGTCAAGTTCACCATTTCCTTCCAGTGGGCGTGACCATTGAGTAGGTGTTGCTGCAAGCGTCTGAGTTTGATTTTGAAGTCGTTGGTGTCC